TACTTCGATAATAAAGAACACAAAGAAATTGATGACCACCAAGGCAACACTCCAAAAAATTCTCAAGAATACCCTAAAAAGAGACAATAAAGCTAACAGTGACAAAAGATCTAATAGAATGAATACACCAGTTAGGGTGAGCAGTTCAATACAAGGAAAAGACAAGGAATCAACAACAGAAAATAAGGTAATATCAATCAGTAATACCTCTCATTATGAATGGCTTAATTCTCCAATCAAACAAAGACTGACAGAATTAATCATGAAACAAAATTGAATGGTATGCTGTAGACAAGAAACACATTTGACATCAAAGGAGACTCATAGAGTATAAGCCCCAGGATAGAAAACAAGACTACATGCAACAGGAACCAGAGTTTTAAAAAGGTGTAGCTATCTTATATTCAAACATAGCAGACTTCAAGCCAAAACTGATCACAAGAGGCAATGAAGGTCATTACATATTGGTTAAGAGAAAAACCTAACAGGAAGAGGTAGCAATTATTAAAATATATGCACCAAACAAAGTTGTATTCAACTTCAAAAAAGAAGTCCTACAGCACATAAAATATCAAATAAACATAAACACAATTATAGTGGGAGCCTTCAGTGCCCCGTCACTGACACATCAATTAGAGAAAAAAATCAATAAAGAAATATCAAAGTTGAATAAAGCCTTCAAAAATGGATTTAATAGATCTATACAGAGTGTTCCATCCAGCAACATAAGAATACACATTCTTGTCAGATGTATGTTGAGATTTCTTCAAAATAGACCACATTCGAGCCTATAAATCAACTTAAGTAACTGTAAACCAATCAAGATTATATCATGCATGTTATCAGACTACATTGAAATGAAATTATAAATCAACAACAAAAGAAAACACTGAAGTTAAGCAAATGCATGAAAACTAAACAGTAAACTGTTAACTAAACAATGGGTTACAGAAAAAAATCAAGGAAGAAATAAGACCACTTCTGGAACTAAATTATAGTGCCAGTGCAACATATTAGAACTTACTGGACACAATCAAAGCAGTCCTGAGAGGAAAATTTATAGCTGTGAATGCCCACATCACAAAAACAGATGAAGCTCAAGTAAATAACCTAACAATGTACCTCAAAATCCTAGAAAAAAAATTCAATTGCAAAGGTAGTAAAACGAAGGAAACTTTAAAAAGCAGAGCAAGAGTCAGTGAAATTGAGACAAAAATACAAAGAATTAATTAATATAAGGGTTGGTTCATCAAAAATAATACAGTTAACCTATGCAAAAACGAGAGAAAAGACCCATATCATATCAATGTAATTAGGTACCTAAAATGTGAAATCACAGCAGAATCTTCTGAAATTGAAAAAAAAATAAACACTACTTTGCAAACAAGTACATCAGGAACTGGGGAGATAGCTCAGCAGAATAAGCACTTGCCTGGTAAGCACAAGGTCCTGAGTTCAATCCCTGGTACCACAAAAGAAAAGAAAAACACGAAAAAAACCTCATAAATTCTTCAATTTATGTCAATAAATTGGAGAATTCAGAACAAATGAATAGGTTCCTAGATCCATATAAATTACAAAACTGAGCCAAGAAGATTTTGAAGCCCTGAATAATCCAATAACAAATCAATTAAGTTCAAATAATAACAACCTACCAACTAAGAAAAGCTCAGGTCTGGATGGGTTCACATCTGAATCCTAAATAAACTTCAAGGAAGTCCTAAGAACAATACACCTCAAGCTCTTTAATGTAACTGAAAGGAAGGTCCCAAAGTCATTCCCAGAAGTTACCCATTATACTGATTCCAAATCAGATAAGCATCCAACCAAAAAGGAAACCATAGACCAATGTCTTTAATGAATATGTATGGAAAAACCCTCAAAAAGATACTGGTAAACAGAATACAATAAATCATCACAAAGATCATGCACCATGAGCAAGTAGACTTCATCCCAGGGATGTGAGGGTGGTTTCAAATATACAAATCAATAAACGCAAAGTATCACAGAGACAGAAGCAAGGACAAAAATCACATGGCCACCTCAATAGCCACAGAAAACCCCTTCAACAAAATTTGACATTCTTTCATAATAGAAACGCCAAAGAAAACAGATATAGAAGGACCTTAATTTGATAAAAGCCATTGTGAGCAAACCTACTGCTAATATCATGTTAAAGGGAGCAAAGCCAACAGCTTTCCCTATAAAGTTAGGAATAAGACAAGTATGTACATTGTCATCACTTGTGGTCAACATAGCACTCAAGGTATTAGCAAGCACATTTAGGCAAGAAATATATATATGAAAGAAATTCAAATTATCATTACTTATGGATGACATGGTTCTCTATATAGATAATCCCCCCAAACTACCAGAAGCCTCTTAGATGTAGCAGAATACAAAAGCAACACACAAAAACCAATAGCATTCTTGCATAAAAATGAGCCCACTGAGAAGAAATCAGGGAAAATAGTTTTCATAATACCACCAAGACAAATTATGTACTTAGAAATTAACCTAAGGAAGTGAAACGTCTCTACAATGAAATTTACTGTACTCTGAAAAAAGGAAATTAAAGAGGACATCAAAAACTGGAGAGATATTTCCTACTTCAGGATAGGCAGAACCTATATAGTCAAAATGGGCATGCTTCCAAAACTATTGTGCAGATTTAGTGTGATCTTAACCAAAACTCCAATAGCAATTTTCACACAACTGGAGAAAACAACCAAATACACACACAGGGGGAAAAATAACTTCTTTAATTTCACACAGCTGGAGAAAACAACCAAATACACACACAGGAGGAAAAATAACTTCTTTAATAAAGGGTGTAGGAAAAACTGGCTATCCATGTGCAGAAGACTGAATATAGACCCATATCTCTCACCACGTATTAAACTAGAATCAAAATGGATCAAAAACTAAATGTTAATCCAGAAACACCTAAACTGCTAGAAGACAGAAGAGGAAAAACTCTTGAAGTCTTAGGCATAGAAGCCAAGGATTTTCTGAACAGAACCCCAGCTGCACAGGTAATGGTACCGAGAATTAACAAATAGCATCGTATCAAATTAAAAAGATTCTGCACAGCAAAAACAAAAATAAAAACAAAAACCCCAAAAAACAAAAAACAACCAACAGAATGAAAAGACAACCAACAGAATGGTTTAAAAATCTTTGCCAGAGGTTCTTCAGAGAGAAGACTCATATCTGCAATACATTAAAAAAAACTGACTTCCTCAAATAAATGACCCAATCAAAAAATGGACATGTGAAATGATTAGACCCTTCACAGAAGAGGGAGCATAAATGACCACTCAACATATGAAGAAATGCTCAATATTATTTATCACTAAAGAAACTCAGATTAAAACAACACTAAAATTCTTACCCTGAAAGAACAGCCACGATAGAAAAATCAAATGATAACAAATGCTAGTGAGGCTGCAGGGCAAAAGGAACCTGTCGACAACGTTAGTGGGCATGTAAGTGAGCACAACCACTGTGGAAATCAGTATGGAGATTCAAAACTGAAAGGAGAAATTCCATTTGACCCAGCTATTCCCTTTCTAGGTATCTTCCCAAAAGATTTAGAGACCTCGTATTACAGTGATACATGCATACCCATGCTTATAACAGCACAATTCATAATAGCTAAATTTGGGAAGCAGGCTATGTGTCTATCAACAGATGAATGAATAAAGAAAATGTAGTTTTCACACACAATGGAGTATTACTCTGCCAGAGAACAGTATAGTTGAGTCATTAATAGGAAATTGGATGCACCTTGAGACCATAATGCTAAGTGAAATAAATCAGACGTACAAGATTAAACATCACAGAGTTTCTCTTCTATGAGACAACCAGAGTAAAAACTAAGGAGCAAAATAAAAGATAGATGATAGGAAGTAAGGAGATAGATCTTTCTCAAATGGGAGGATGGAAGAGGTGGAAGGAACAGGAAAGAAAGGGAGAAATTACCAAAAAAGAAATTGGGGTGTGTTATTCCACACTTGGAAAGTAAACATTCTGTGCTGCAGACATGTATAAAAGAGAAAATGGAAGGTGATCAACAGATGGGTGGAGGGGGTAGGGAGGGGAGAGAAAGCAAATGAAAAAGGTAAATAAAATGTGTTTTGTACCTCTGCCAACTTCCCACAATGAATGTAAACATTATGTACTATATACATGTACTAATAAGTTAAAATAACATTTTTTGTCTTTTTTTCATGTGTGTGGCCAGCTCAGCTTGCACTGGGGATGGAAGCTGGTGCAGCTTGTGGTACTGGGATCAAACCACAGTCCCTGCACTTGCCTAGGCAGGCACTTTAGATGGGTGAGCTTTCTTGCTGGCCCTTCATTTATGTATTTGGAACAGGGTCTCCCTGTGCAGCTCGGACTTGTAGTGATCCTTCTGTTTTCAACCTCCCCAGCACCGGGATTATAGGCATGCACCATAACATTCAGACTCGGTTACTACCTCAGTGTGCCCTGGGAGTGGGGCCCACGCGGCATGAGGGACTAGGGATCTAACCCTGGTCCCTGCGTTTGCCAAAGCAGGTGCTTAGTTTGCTGAGCTATCTCACTGGCCCTTTTTTCTTTGTCTTTTTGAGGCAGGGTCTCACTAAGCAGTTCAGGCTGGGCTTGAGCTCATTTTGTAGCCTAGGTTGGTCTTGAACTTGCAACTATCCTTCTGCCTCAGCCTCTGGAATACTAGGATTACATGTGTGAACCACCATATCCGACCTTAAAATAACATTTAAAAAAAAAAGTAAACAAGCTATCCAATGAATTTGGGCCAAAACAAAAGCCTCCCAAGGTTAAAATATGGCCCAGGTCATTCATTTGACTTCATTCATCTTAGCCCAGAAGCACAAATCACTTTCATGAACTAGAAACGTCCTATATGTTGCTACTGATGCCCTATGAAGTTAGGTTCATCAGTCAGCTTTGTATAATTTGTAAAATTCAAAATCTTTCCCACACTAGGGTCTTACCAGAAAAGTTATCCAGTCGCAGCCACCCACAACGGAGGTGTATGTGCCACTGCTCCCGCACACTCTCCTTCATCACGCAGTAAAACACAAAAATGAGGAATCCTAAGCCAGGAGAAGGAAGTCAGTCTTTTTCAGTTATTTCATCAGTTATCACCCAAAGCCCAGATGCAGACCTGCTGTTGTCACTATAATTACTACTTCCAAGAAATCATAGTGTCTTTCTAGCTTCCCCAAAGGCAATCTGTACCAAAACTTCACAGCCACCACTGTTTTCACTGATGTTCATCCTACAGTGTAAGAAATAAAGGCTGCTTTGGTAGCCCTCTAACATAGCCCTCTGTGATCCTCACATCCTGGCATTTGTACCCTTGTGTTGTCTCCTTTCACACTGTACTAATAGAACGTGCCAGAAGTCACTGAGGGCTCTTCTAAGATTAATTTATAAAAGACATTGAAATCCCCTGCCCCCTTTCCTTCTGAGGGAAGCCAAGCATTTTTTTCCCTCCAGGACACCCTAGCATCCCCATGAAGAATACATGGTGAAGGACTGAAGCTTCCAATAACAGCCTGGATAAAGATCCCCCAAGCCCAGCAAGTCTTCAGATGACAGAGACATAGCCTATAGCTGGTCTCCAACTTTTTGCAAGTCTCTAATCCACCAATACCCAGCTAAGTAGCTCTTCAGTTCCTGAGCCCCAGACACTGTGAGAGATAGGAAGTGTGTGTTGGTTTAAGCTTCTAAATCTGTTGGTAATTTGCTGCAGACTCATAAATAGCTAATGTCAATCATCTTTGGAAAAATTCCACTATGTAAAAATCATCTACCTGGTGCCACCAGCTTCCACTATCAGCCCTCATTTTGTCCTGAAAGGGGATGAGAGTGGGGCTAAAGGTATCTATCAGCAATATGGCATATTTTTCATTCTAGTTGTCTAAAACATATCCCCGTGAGTTAAAAGTGGGACTCAGGATGGTTCTGATTGCAGATTCCCTGGAAGGCCAATTAGCTTTCCACAAGGTAAGGGTAGAATTGCCAGAAATAACTTATGTTGATACTCTGACTTTTATGTATAGTCCATGGGAAAGACTTTATCCACAAAGCCTACATATGCCTCAGGCATTTCATTTTCCCACTTCTGAACTCATGTAAAAATTTTTCATAATATTTTCCATATTTAGCCACACAATTCTTTTTTTAAAATTTTATTTATGTGTGTGTGTGTGTGTGTGTGTGTGTGTGTGTGTGTGGCGAGCTCAGCCCACCAGGGGGCGGGGCTGGCTGGCACGTGGTCCTGGGGATTGAACCGCGGTCCCTGTGCTTTGCTAAGCTTGTTCTAAGTAGGTGCTTTAGACCACTGAGCCATCTCACCAGTCCCACAATTCTTTATCTATTGCCCATCTCACTACCCAGATGTCAAAGTCTTTCAATGGCTGAGGTATGTTTTCTTTTCATCTTTATATCAACTTTCCCTTTGTCTTCAGTACTATGCATGGCAGCTCCACAGATGGTTGTGGACTTGAACTCCAATGTACTTGATGCACAAACTCTCACAATCTCCTGCAGCCTTAGAAATACCTGCATCAACCACATAATGTGTGTTTTGGCCCAAATGCAGCTTAGAAACCATTGTTCTCTAGGCAGGGTTCACCCTCTATACTGGCAAGTTGGCCTGCAGAACAACAAATCAATGATTAGTAGCACAATGGTCTGAACTCATTGCAAGTTGAGAAAAAGCCAAAATGGTAAATTCCCTTTAAGCTAATTTCAGCTACAGCCGTAGTGGAAATAAAGAATTTTAATTGAACTGAGTGTGCATCTCTTGCTATCTTCTCTGGTCTGATCATACCTCTGACAAGTTCATTTTGGGTGGATTTGTTTTAAAAGGATGATAACAAACAGAAGTATGGAAAAACAACCAAATGACAGGAGAAATACTTCAAAGAATCAATTGGGATCTCATCTTTTTGAAGACTTTCTGCACATCAAAAGAAATCACCAACAGAGTAAGAAGAAAATCCACAAATTGGGAAATATTTATAGTCAACTGTCCTTCCGACAAAGGACTTCTATCTAGAATATATAAAGAATTTTAAAAATCAGGCCTCCCAAATTCAAAAACCCAATCCAGAAAAATAGGCATCTGAGATGAATACACACTTCTCAGATGAAGAAATACGAATTGAAAATAAATGTATGAAAAAGCATCCAACAGCATTGTTCACTGGAGAAATGCAAGTTAAAACAACACTGAGAGTCCATCTCACCCCTAGAAAGAATGGCTAACACCAAGAAGTCAAGCAGTAACAAATGTTGGAATGGCTATGGGGAAAAAGGAACCCTTCTTCCTCTTTTGGTGGGAATGCAGACTGGTGCAACCATTATGGAAATCAGTATGGAGATTCCTCAAAATGCTAGGATTGGAGGTCCCATTTAAGTCAGCTACTCCCCTCCTAGGTATATTTCCAGAACTGAAAACATATCATAGCTTTATATGGACACCAATGTTTATAGCAGCACAATTTATCATAGCTAAATCATGAAAACAACTCAAATGCCCATCAACTGAGGAATGGATAAAGAAGATGTGGTGTTTTTATACTGTGGAGTATTACTCAGCTATAAAGAAAGATAAACTTGAGGCTTTTGTAGGTAAATGAATGCAACTAGGGGCCATACTCCTATGCAAAATAAATGAGACCTGCATGTGTAAACATCATATCATCTTGCTAGGGTAATAACCTGAAAGAGTAAATAAAATCTGAAAGGTACAACACATACTGTGAAAAAGAAAGAATCTGTTCAAATGGAAGGAACAACTGGGATGAGGAAAATGATCAAAGAAGAAAAAAGGAAGGGAAAATTTTATATATAACATAGCTTGGATAACTATACTGCTGATTTCTGCTGATCTACTGAAAGGAGCAGTTAATGCTTAAATGTTTTCCCTTCTACTTTTTAATTTCTTATAACTTTTTAAAACCAATTTTGAGGGGCTGGGAAGATAGCTCAGTAGAATAAATGCTTGCCTGGCAAGCTCAGGGTCCTGAGTTCAATCCCTGGTACCGCAAAAAAAAAAAAAAATTGCATGCTTATATCTGATAATCTAAACAACTAATTTGAAGACAACATGATGTGATATAACAACCATTGTTGAATCTGTATTATTTTGTTGAGGGAAATTCTGTATTGTTTCTTAATTTTTATTATTTTGTATTCTCTTTAAAAAATAAAAAAGCACTGAGCACGAATTAGTGCTTCTTCAGGCCGAGCTCTGTCGACTTCTTCCATGCGTGACGTGCTCAGTGCTTTAATCTTCATTCCCTCTGATAATATATATTTTCAAGGATTTTTTTTGTTCAGTCTGTGTGGCATGATAACTGCTTTTAAGGGAAAGATAAGATTTCTTTCTGCTTTTAAGTAATACTGTGATATTGTAGGCACTAAAGCAGAGCTAGCAGCGCTTTCTCGAGTTTCACCTTGGTTTACTTTAACAGGTTGAGATGTGTGTGGTAAGATGTAACTTAACTGTTAACTCTGAGGTCTGAAGTGCTTAGCTGCCGAGCCAGATTGCGTAGTAGACCAGATCTTGTGTCTCTGAAGTGTTGATATTCCCTCATGTTGAAAGGAATATTTGTTAAGATAGCTTGAGTTTTCTTATAGGATCTTTTATTAAACTTCCCCCAGTAGTTTCAGATCCGCATGTCCTAGGCTTCTAGAAGTATGGTATACTGAAAACTGGATGGCAGGAGCTGCACGGGCTTGTTTTCCAAAGAAAAGGACTGTTTCAAGGGAGAGACAAGTTCTAGGTATACCGCAGAGCTATTTCAAAAATCATTCGGAACAGGGCCCGTGAGTGGAAGTGAGTGCCCAGGTGACATTCTGCTAAGAGGTAATAAATACAGCTGAGTTTAAAAACAAAAAAATAAAAAATAAAAAAGAAGTATGGAAGAACAGAGCAAATAAGGATAGTGATAAACTTGACAGAAAACTGGGGTATCGTAGCTGGATAAGAGAAACTTGGAATAAGAAATGTACAGTGAGGAGAGGTGGCAGCATTAGTCACAGATTTGAAAGAGTTGTCACAAAAAAGACAAATTATACCTTTTCTGTGTGGTTGCCAGGTTAGAATCAAGAGGAACGGGAAGAAGCTACAGAAGAACCATTTAGTAACAAATCACAGCTAGCAATGACTAAGCAATGACTGCTGACAGCCATTGTGTATTAATGTCATGTTTACAGATGAGAAGCCTGAGTCTAAGGAGTCTAGTTAAACTTGACCAGTATCACAGAGCTAATGTGGCATTGGCAGTCCCAAGACTGGCACAATCGGCTGACTACAGAGCCCAAGGTTCTAACCATTGGACAGTCCTACCACCAGATAAAGAAGACTGATAGAAAAATCAAAGCTGACTAGAACTCAAATGCTTGCTTTAGAGATTTGTAAGAGCCCTGTCCTTGGAAAATTTCTGAAATAGGCAAGTGACTTTCTTTCTGTCACTTGATGGGGAGTTGCACTGGGAAGATTTCAGTTCCCTGGTCCCAGCCTTGAGACTCTGATTTCTGGTGAGAAGCAGCAAACTGGTGGCTAAAAAGAACATCAAGTCTCGCTAATGCTCCCAAGGGCTTCACCCACATTTGTAACCAAACAACTGTGCAAACCCAGCAGCATCTACTCCTTTTCAGCAGTGACTACCTGGACAGAGGTGTAGCAACATGAAAAGCACAAGTCCGTCGCAGAGCAGGTAAAACTCCTCCAGACTCAGCGCAAACAAGGGCGAACAGTGACATCAAGCACCTATTACAGCTCCAATGTCTTGCACGGAGCTCAGTTACTTCTCAGACTTAAAGGCTATTCTGCGAGTTCCAATGAGCTGCCTGTGTGCTCTCCCTCTCCTCCTGAGAGCCTTCCTCTTTCTTACCAGTAACACATTGATCTGCTTACTCACTAGAGCAGAGGCAGGAGGAAGAAAGCAGGGTTTTGTCACCTGCATTCTTATTTATACATCCTTCCTTCACAAAGTGCTCATGGCAAGCAGAATTTTGCCCCAGTTGACCATAGGGCACCCCTCTTTGTGCTGAATTGCAAATTTGTAGATTGTTATTTAAACAGTTTGTTCACTTGTTACTGTTCTTCTTTTGAAGTTATTTAAGGTGTGTGTGTGTATGTCTGTGTGCATGAAAATTTTAAATTTGAAACTTAGGGCTCTGAAAACACCCTGCCTACAACATGGCACATTCTTTCATGTAGCCCTATAGATAGGACTTGGAACGCTTGGTGCTTAATTGACATACAATGTTGCTGAAACAGCCAGCTTGTCTCTGTTGATAATGGATCTATGGAAATTTGGTGTGAGTCTCTAAGAACGTAACTAATTCAATTCTGCATCAACAGACGTAGACTTCCTGCTTAGGTAATACTTTTCCCTTCCACCAAAGGAATGGAGTTCTTGTTTTAGAAGCACCTCCCTTCCTTTTCAAGTTCAAGACTGCTTTGCTTTCTTGCTCTTTTGTCAACTTCTTCTTAACCCCACTTTGCATAGAGTTAATATATTTCTTCTCAGAGTACTGTGCAAAAGAAAAGCCTGGAGTTAGCGCCGAGTACGTCTCTACAGGTGTCTGGCTGAGAAACTATTTCTGTGGACATTCCCCGCGAGACTGATTAGTTCTCGACCTTAGAGCATCATGCTACAGATTGAAGTTCGAGCACCTCCGTATGGGCCAGGTGGTTGTCCAGAATGAAAGCGTAGGGCTGTCACTGGGGCCTCAGACAACGTTCTGGATTGTAACGCCTCAAAGGGCACCACGAGAGAGTGCTGTGGAGAGTTCCAAAGAAGTCCATCTATACTGCCAGATATAGTGCAAATGGCACGTGGAGGATGAACTGCACATTTTGTATCGTTATACATTATGATCAATATGTGTCTGGATAGTGTTCCACCATATGCAAGACCCCCAGAGAATGCCTGAAGTTTGAAACTATATATATATATATATATATATATATATATATATATATCCATGATAAAGTTTAATTTATAAATTAGGTACATCAAGAAAGTAACATTACTAACAAAATAGAAAAATATGACTATATATTATATGTATAATAAAGTTATTTAGAGGTTGTAAATAGTTTGCTTCTGGGATTTTCTATTAAATATTTTCTTTTTTGTGTGTTTTAGGGAAGGGTCTACAGGGTGTTCAGGGTCTCATTACTAGACCTGACTCTTATTGATCCGCCTGTTTACAGCCTTCCAGGAGCTGGGATTACAGGCTTGCGCCACCACACCCAGTCTCAATTGCCATCTCAGCATGTCCCAGGGGCAGGGCCAGCACAGCAGGCCTGGGGATTGAACCCGCGGCCCCTGCTCCTACTTGCAGGTACTTCATTCTGCTGAGCTATTTGGCCCACCCTTCTTTTTAACATTTTTCAAACCACAGTTGAGCAGATGTTAGTGAAACTGTGCAAAGTGAAACTCTGGGTAAGGGAGTGGGGAGCTATTTTGTAAAGTTGGCAGAATGTGGTGGGGCACAAAATTCCAGCTCATTCAGTTTACAACTATCAAGTAAGATGGTTTCTTACAGGCGTGAGCAGAAAGTATGTCTTTTACCAGATTACTCTGTCTCCTAGAGGCACCTTTGCAGCTATCTGGAACATAATAAGCGCACACAACACATATTTCCCAAGGTTCATTACAAGTCACAACTACAATAATAAAGCATCTCGATGTTTGCAAATTCTAGATTAAATAAAACTTTCAGTATTTTTCAATAGTTTTGAGAGTTTTACTTTGATGATATATACTCCTGAGAATGAGGAAATGTAGTTGGTTGTGTTTTCCCAACTTCTTTGGCCATAGGAAACTTTTCTGTTGGAACTTCTCATGGGAACACCAGTGGGATGCGCTTTGGAAAAGGCAGATCATTGAATGAAAAATACAGAGAGCAGGAAAGGAGGCCTTATTTCCTTACCTGCCCCATGAGCCCAAAAGGACTAGACCAAACTTGAAGATAAAGGCATGGAATGTAGTTTTAGATTCTCATGAAATTATTGTCTCCGTGTCCCAACAAGACTTTTTAATAGATTAAGAATTAAAATGAATATCAGTAAATACTCAGATGTGTATTACCAGGTCCCATGTTACATTTTGTCTACTGTTTAATCATTTCACTGATGATTCGTTCCTTCTCCCAGAATATAAAAAGGATACAAAAAAATTATAAAGTCCTTAGATAAGGACCATCCAATTTAATCACTTTTAGGGGATTTCCTAAAGGGGGTTCTGTACCAAAATCAAGACTAGAACATTGGCCTATTGCCTTGGTCTACAACTCCATGCTCTTAACCTTCATTCCTGTGTGGCTCTATAGTTTCCTAGCCTGGATCTTTCCCCAAATATTAAGATGTGTGATGCAAACAGAGTTTTGGGGACTAAAAGGTTAATGTTTGTTCTGTGCAGTAATTGCTATGTGCAAATGGGATTGTGAACTTCACATTTAATACAAGTGTGAATCTGTACATTGACAAGTACAATGTGCTCATTCAAGGAGTACCGTAAGACTGCTGCCACTCCATGTCTGATACGGACCATAGCAAACTAGACAGAGTCCAGTCAGCTTACTGGGGCTGCTCCCTACCTCCCTAAGGGAGAGTGACTGAGCTGTGCATTCATGTAGTGGGATAGTATCTGGCTAATATTTCCAATGGTTTCCTGTCAAGTCATTTGGGCAGAGGCCTTCTGGGCTCTTTTCTCCCCCTTTGAGTCTCTGATGCATGACATTATTTTCCACAGTAAGAAAAGCTTTGCTTGTAAGGTTCTACCATCTGAGGTACAGGATCTCAGGATAAATCCTGAGGGGATTTCACTGACCTTATCAGACCCAAAGCTACAACTCTTGTTGCACAGGTCCTGCTTTACCTTGGTCTTAACCACCCAGCAGAAAAGTATAAAAACGAAATATAAGAAGTAAAGTCATGCTGTTATGTTGAGCTATAAGGGACTCAGGTCAACAATTTCTGACATTGCCAGTCAAGCGGAAGACCCAATACTATTATGGGCTACTGGACTCTTTTAGAATATTTTGCTGAGTTTACACACCTATAATATTCAAATAACAGAACTTAACAAAAAAGGGGGATACAAATGAATGTCCATTTTGTATCTATGTATTCCAAATGGTTAGGATAGATATACAGTTACATTCTCTTAATGAATAGAGGGATTTGTTCTAATGGTGTCTGTAAATAGGATATCATGTCCACATTTTATACAGCAACTAACCACTAGGAAGAATGTATGCAATGTGTTAATTATTGAAATGGTCCTACCAATTTGTTTTGAAACTGTCTCATTGCTATTTGTTTCTCAATAAAATTATGGAAAAAAAAGAAAAGCTTTGCTAGAGGTCTAGCTAGCCACAGAAAAGTCAAACAAGCAGTGGTTACCTTGCAAACTATTGCAAATGGCAAAAAGATACAAGAAAAAGATCCTCACAGGTCCCCAGGCAAAAAAGGCAAACCCCCAGGTGAGGCCAAGTAAGAATGTCAGGCTTAGTATGCCTTTGAGGTCACGTAGGATCATCTTGCGCCGAGTCTTCTGCCTTTGAGATTTCATGGAATTCAGTTGAGCAAGAACAGTGCAGAACATGGAGAGATTCACAAAAAATATGAGGCAAAAATAAGCCACCACTGAGATGTAAAAGATAGAATCATCCTTAATCCAACAACTGTAAGAAATAAAGAAAAGAAGACTGTTGTGAAACAGGGGAAAAAGCTCCTAACTTACAGAGACTCTAAGGACTGGCTAGCCAGGTTCATTTAATGCATAGACACCTAGATGGAGAGCGATGAGCCAATTTGGAAACTATTCTATTCCTGAATAGCAGAAAAACAAATTCTGGATTCTCCCCAAAAGGCTCTTCATCCCCCACCTTACACCTGAGTTTATATTTGCAGATTAAATTCTGCGTTACATGATAAATATCACAGTGCAAAAAGAAAAGCAATGAATGGCTTTTCCGAATGCTAAATCAAACACCGATGAGATGATTAGAGATAATGAAAATGTAACAAAAAGAGGGACAGCTCTTGTTGTATTGTTTTAAAATGCGAGGTATTTGGGTTACAAAGGCAACACTAGCAACCAGACTGATTAATGTCTCTACAATTTCTATTAGAGAAGAAACATACAGGGTTCATATGAACAGATACTTCACTTCATAATATTTCCAATTACTGAAGGCATTTTTTCAGGTTTCTCAGCACATACAAGCAACTAATTCAGCTGTGTGTCAACTTAGCTAAGACCTCTTTTCTAAAAGCAGGAAAATACCTTTGGGGCATGTTGATGTGGATAATTTCTTGTCTGTGTGAGCCTGTGTCTGTGTGGGGGAGGGGAGAGAGAGAGAGAGAGAGAGAGAGAGAGAGAGAGAGAGAGAGAGAGGAAGAGGGAGAGACAGAAGGAGAGACAGAGGGAGAGGGGAGAGAGGGAGAGGGAGAGGGAGAGAGACAGGGAGAGGGAGAGGGAGAAGAAGAGGGAGAGACAGAAGGAGACAGAGGGAGAGGGAGAGAGACAGAGACAGAGACAGAGACAGAGACAGAGAGTTATGAGAGAATGAAAAAAATTGATTTCTACAACGGGGCCTAATAATCCTTAAGTGTTTTAGCCTTACAGAAAGCGGCAGCTTGCTTTCTTCCCTCCCCCTGCCCCTCCCCCTCTCCTGCCAAGCCCTCCTGTTTTACTTTGCGATAGGTTCTCACTAGGTTGCTAACTTGCACAAACTGGGCTGGAATTTGCTATCCTCTTGCCGCAGCCCTCAGAGTGTGTGTTTAGAGGTGTCCACCACCACACCCAACTGCATGATGCTTTAAAATGGGGCAGTAAAAAGTTGATCTCACGGAAGCAGAGAGTAAGACAGTAGTTATCTGAGATGGGGGACAGTAATGTGCAGGGAGAGATGAGGAGGAGCTAGCACATAGGTACAGGTTAGACAGACGGAAGGAATAAGCTTGGAAGTACTAATGCATAGTAGGGTGACTACGGTCAACAATGTGTATTTCAAACTAGCCAGAAAAAAGGATTTTGAATGTTCTCAGCACAAATAAATGATAAATGCTAGATGATGAATATCTCAAATGTCCTGATTTGGTCATTATGGGCTATGTCCATATATCAAAACATTTCAGGGCTGAGGAGATGGCTCAGTGGAATAAGTGCTTCCCTGGCAAACGCAAGGGCCTGAGTTCAATCCCCGGTTCCGAAAAAAAAAAAATTCAGAGTACCCCATCAATATGTACAGTTATATGCAATTAAAATAATTTTAAAGCAAACATATAAGAGATTATCTGTATGAATTCATGGCCATTAAGAGTTCCTTCAAGAAAGAAAAACGAAGTAGCTGCGGCTCAGGGTGGGGCTTACTTTTTGTTTTGCCCTTTTTCACTTTTACATTTTATACCACCTGGTAAATTACCTTTCAGAACATGATTATTTTAAAAAACAAAACCCTTAGAGCCATCTGTTTCTTACTAACAAATTCCTAGGTGAGAAGGCTCTTTAAGGAAAGAGTAGAATTGATTTTGTTCTGCTTTTACTTTTGTTTTTGATGGTTGAAGAAGAATCACAGATAGATATGGTGGACATTTTGAGTCAGAACAGGCAAAGAGGGAGGACAGAGGGGTTGATGAGAAGGAAAGGGAGAGAAAAGATAACAAGGAATTTTAATTAGAAAGCATCTGCTGTGAAGGGCAATATGATTTTGACCCTCTGAAAACTGTCATCTTAATATGAAAGACAGAGGAAGTTCAGGAGCAGGACCTGGCACATTTGATTCCAGTCCAGTGGGAGAGGAAATCCATAGTGGATGTGATCTTGCGAGGCAGCACTAAAGAGAAAGGATATGGGTAAGTAAACATGAAGTTAGATTGTGCAGCCCAGAGGACCAGTGCGGCTACATATGTGGCCATAAAAGAAGATTCAGGAGAGACGGGGTGGAGTGAATGGCCACTCTATGGGCTGTGGTTAAGAGCTACAGATCAGCTTACATTTCAAATGAAAAGATAGGGAGGAGGGAAGGAAAAAGGGAAGAAGGTGGGAAAGGAAGGAGAAGGCAGAGAGGAAGAGAGGGAGGAAGGGAGGAAAGGAGGTAGGGAGGGAAGGAAGGAGGGAGGGAGGAAAGGAAGGAGGGAGGGAGGAAAGGAAGGAGGGAGGGAGGGAACGAGGAAGGAAGGAAAGAAGGAAGGAAGGAGAGAAGGAGGAAGGATGGAAGGAAGGAAGGAAGGAAGGAAGGAAGGAAGGAAGGAAGGAGGAGAGGGAGGGAGGGAACCTGTTTGTGAAGGAAAGCTTTGCAGTCTCATTCAAGGAAGACCTTGGTCGTGTAAAGGCAGAACATATTCTCCAGTTTATCTCAGTATTTCCTCATAGTGGCCACCAGCTCTTCTAACGGTCTTTTTGAGATATGTAACAGTAATGGCTGCCAGCTATAGCACTTGCCTTGGATAAGACAACAGATCAGACCCCTCACTACACATGTGATGTCATTTTACTTTGCTCATGACATCAAGAGCAAACATTATCATTCACACACACACGCTGTAGGGTTTTATGGGCTATTTTCCACAGCTGTTCCAATCCTCTTAGTGACAAGATCTCACGAAGTCCTCCAAAGTCTTATTCTGCGACAAACATCATGATCCCTGTCATCGTATAGATTTTCCAGGAGGAGAAATAAAAACTAATAAGATACATTTCCTAAGTTCAGACAGTGCCTGGGCTCTGAGTGTGGCTGTGACTACTTTTAGGGAGAAAGCCTGAGACTGAGTTCTCCCTGAAACCCATGTGAGGCCCATACCCCAGGCAGCAATGCCGCTACTTACAACAGAGTTGTCGGGCTCAGAGTCCCGTACAGATCTTTTCTCACAGTGAGTAAGATAGCCACGGTGATTGCTGGGACTCCTGGAGTGGGAAAGCAAGCCAAAAGATCCCGTTACATTGTGGGAGAGAGATCTCTATCAATGACTGTGGGAGCTGGTACATTAAGATACTGTTTAAATGAGGCACAGATGTGCGGGCATCAAAACACCATTGTTTGCAAAATGTTTGTGCATTCTTCCAAGTTAAACATTTCTAGGAGTTCTCCAATCTGCTAAACTAAACAGCACGCCGATGGCTCCAATACAACACCCACTGGTTATTAAAAATAGCTCAAGTGCCAAAAAATCAACTTGGCAATACAAGTGTCGACTTCATTGCAATGCAACTTCGTATTGAGCATTTCTTCTTCAAGGATGGGCCGCAGATCATTTTCTCCCTTTCAATACGGCCCCTTAGTTCCCACTATCCTTTTGTCTAGGTCACCTTGGAGGAAGGGCACAGGCAATCAGTTGCAGCTTTCAGTGCTTTTTCGACATGGAAGCTCTTTTCATGCTCGTTACTAGTTTGACATTTTGACTAGATCAACCAGTTAACGACTGGTCAATTCAGCCAGACTATAATAAAGCAATCAGTTCAGTCCAAATGGTCAAACCTGATGTGGGTATAGACACAGGGCTTAAAAATCCAATTTCACGTACATTTGCAAATCTTAAATGATTTCTTTATTTCTAAAACTGTATTTCTCCTAAGCTAAGAGCGCACACACACACACACACACACACACACACACGCTGTAGGGTTTTATGGGCTATTTGCCACAGCTGTTCCAATCCTCTTAGTGACAAGATCTCACGAAGTCCTCCACAGTCTTATTCTGCGACAAACATCATAATCCCTGTCATCGTATAGCCTACCCCTAGCACAGTGCCTAGCATGATGATGTTTCTCAAAGAGACCCCTCGGCGGCTGAAAAGGAGGCGACAAAGAAGGTATCATCTCAGATGGAATTTCATGGCAGCCGTCACATTTCCATGTTCATATTTTTTTTTTAAAAAAACCTCCCTCTTGGTTGTTTGTTATTCTTAAGAATGTGACAAATCCACCTTGAACGGGGACCATAAATACACCTTTGCAACAGGCTGTTTTGGCGTTGCGAAGGTAGAGCGTCAAATCTCAACAGATGCTAATATTTATTTTCCTTACAGTTGATTGCATTTGTCTAATGGTTAAATGCTCTGAAACTCCCTGCAGCAGCTCAGCAGTGGCTCCCTGGTGGCCTTGTGTGTATCCACATAGGCCACACAGACAAAGGCTTAGTTCTGTGCTTATCTGCATTTTGGCAGAGTTCCCTGTGGTCCTGCAGGAAGGGGAGCCAATGGGAGGCCGGTGAAGAGGTGTTTCTCGTGCTACCTCTTACTCCCCAACGACGGCCTGGTGTCCTCTGGGAGGCTGTCAGGAGAGTGCTCTCATGGTCTCCCCAAGTTCTGAGGAGGTGTGGGCTTTTCGCCCTGCTTCCTCAGAACAGAGCTGCCAAGCAGAAAACGACATCACTTTTGTTTAGAACTGGCTCCTCAGCAACAGGGAATTCCACAATTCCTGCCACAGTCATCTATTCCCTTTTGTTTTGGTGTCATTCTTTTTAGCATGTGGGACAAGAACTCGGGAGCTGACACTTCTGGCTATTTCTCTTTTATCTGTCTTTTTAAGTAATGAATTGAATCTAAGAGTGGCTCATTGCATCTTTCTACACTGGTCAAGGCAGTCAGGCCTTGGCTTTGCCTTGGCTGGTGTGTGTACCTGATAATCTTCAAGAACTTCCTGCTCCCAAGTACCAAGCATTCACCTTCCTTGCCCAGCCCTGTACCCCAGCACTACGTGGAAATGAGAAAGTCAGAGAGAAGAAGCAAGACAGGGGCACACCAACATGTGAGGGGCAAATTAAAGAGGCAGAATCTGTGAAAGAGCCAAGAGCCCGCGGTGATGAGGACGGAGGAAAACTGGAGGGGTGACACCTACAACCCTTTCACAACCGAGTATAAGTGGGCTGTAGAAACCTTCCTCAATATCTTTCAGTTCTCTGGTTGAATCAAGATGAGGGCTGATACGCACAAAGGGAAGTGCACTGACTGCCTTGGGACTGTTTCTGATGATTCCAAATTGTCCTGAAACAAAGTTTTTGGATTATGCTCTGGTTCATATTGCCTCCTCTGATTCTCACATTCACATATATAATAATGGTGACTGTGAACCCAATGAAAGCATGTATTCTGTTAATGAACTCATTAAAGGCATGAGTAATAATTAAGAAGCTATTGTGTTCAGAAAGGCAGTGAAAGACAAATCCTCTCTTCTTGTGTATCCTGTTTGTAGGCATCTCCTATGCATCCTAACTTGTAGGTGTTAGGTATTTTATCTTTTGTCAAGATATGCTTCCTAACCTGCCAATTTTTTTACTCTTAATTTTTATTAGTATATATTTTCAGCACATAATTGTATTCATTATGGGTAGTTGGTACATGTACCTGGCACACTTAATTCCTTTGGACAAAGGAGGAAGAGAAAAAGGAGTTGAACTGGCCATGCTAGTTAAAATACTGGAAAGTAAAACAATAAAATGACATTTATATTAAGAAATATTCTTTGCTTTTTCCAAGACCAAACAGTTCTGACATTTGGTAATCATTAGGTCATGGCTGACCAGACACCCTGTTATTCCCTGTATGTAGATGTTCCCCCAAAGCCTCATGCACTCTTAGGTGGTGCTTTTTGGAGCTGCCTGGCTCACAGGGTGTGTGATCCTGGGATTAAGGGTGTGTGGTACTAAAAATTAGTAATTCCACTAACTGGAATTAGCATAGTTTGAACTGTGGCTGAATGGAGTTAGTGGAAACAGAAGCCCCACCCTGGGTATGGGAGGCACCATCCAAAATGTTTGTAGCCTGGATAGAATAAAAGGGAAATGCAGGTTAACTGCTGCTGCTTGCTGCCTCCTACCCACACTGCCATGGACTATTTCTCCTCTGTGATGCCCCTCTGTTATGCCCCCCTGCCTTGGAGCCAGCTGACTATGGACTGAAACCTCTACCAACTGCACTAAATAAATTTTTCCTGATTAACTTGTAGGTGTTTTGTCTCAGTAATGAGAAAAATAACTAAGACACACCCTTTCACCCATTTCAAGTTCTTTCCCTGTTCCTTAAGCAATATGCAAGATCTTAGAGGATAAAAGTCCCAATGATGGATACAGACACTCTAGTTCAAGTTCCACTTCTTCCTAGTAAGTTTTGGCAAATTACCTTCTCTGTACTCCTCATTGCCCTCTTCTGTTAATTGGTAATATTTCCCATAGACATATTGTAAGGACTAAATGAGCATATTAAACACTTAGAACATCTAGCATCTGTCATATGTAAGCGCTAAGTGTTAGCTCTTATGTCAGCAAGTATGTGTTGTACCTGTAACTTCTGTAAAAGAAGAGCTAAAAATATGATAGGTTCACTGCTGCAGATCTAGAACCTCACACAGCACACAATGAAGTGTTCAATAAATATCTGTGAAACAAGTCTTCATCACAAAAATTAAAAGTTAAATTTATAGAGCAATCTGTAAAGAGATGATGTATTCCTGAACATTGGCAAAGCAATGTATATTTACCTCCATTATTAACAGATTTTTGTACCAAGTAATTTGTCTGATGGAGCTTGTTGTAGAGCAAATGTGTTCCCCAATGTCCTAGCTACTTTCTTATCACTGAGACACGATGCTATACACCTGAAACCTTAAGAAGGAAAGGTTTACTCTAGCTCACAGTCTGTAGAGGTTTCAGTCCTGAATCAGCTGGCTCCAAAGCTGGGTGGCATGGCAGAGGGCATCGAAGAAGAGAAAGGGTACATAGAATGGTAGTCAGGAAGCAGACAACCATCAAAGGAGAGGGGAGAAAGCTAGACCTGTATAGGCCATGCCACCACTGAGACACGTCTCAAACCAGACTTTATCTCCCAACATCACATTTAACTATAAATACATCAGTGATTAGCCTATTGATGCGTATCAATCCCCATGATTCAGTCACCTCCTCAAAGTCCCACCTAGGAGGGCATGAGCTCTGGGGGACATCTACATATAAAACAAAACACCCAAGGTCCATGTGGGGGAAGCATAATAATTCTCAGTGCAACAGTATTGATAGGTAGACTCCTTAAGAGTTGCTTAGGTAATAAGGGCTCGGCCCTCATGAACATATTAATACAATAAGGCTTCATTTTATGAATGCTTCTGTTTGTAAATAATTTGATTCACAAAGAAAAGCATTAGGCAAAACTTTGCTTCTGTTCACAAAATCCACATTGGGTGCCAAATGTGGCCATAGGCAACTTTCCCACAGAAACCCCAACACAGACCCTAATTCCCAAAATCATAAAACAAGTTAAGTTTGCAAACCAAGGGACTGCTGTACAGTTTTTTCAGGAGTGGTTTCTTTTCGCAGAAGTGGGTTCCTTATAAAAAACATGCTCTGTCCCCACTCTCTTCTGCGTGATGCCTTCCACCACATCATGACAGTGCAAGAAGGCCAACAACAGATGCAGGGCCCTGATCCTGACTTTCTAGCTTCCAGAATTTAAGAGCTACATCTGTCTTTGTAAATTAACCAGTCTCCAACATTTTGTTAGAGCAGCACAAGGCAGACTAGCATAAAACTAAAATAGAAAGACACAGGCTTAAATGACAGACATTGAGGACAACGTCAGATATACTTACCCCAGCCAACTAGGCAAAATTTAAGGATATAATTTGGAATGTATATATTGAAGACTTTGACTAGAGCAAAATACATGTGAACTGCCTCCAGGCCCATCCAAGTTAAGGAAACGAGCAGAAAGTAGTGAAGTGCCACTGCAGCTGTGACACAGAGGCCCACATTCTGCACTGATGACAATGATGAGTTGACCAGAAACACTAGGTTCAGCATTAGTAGTGCTGTGCACAGGTTGATCAGGATTTTGGAGGGATAATCTTTCCTAAGTTTGCTGGAAGAAACAGCACAAGATTGAGTTAGGCTGGGTCTCCTTTTAACTTAAACATTGCCACATCTTATGTATAATACAGGAATAGAGAATCATCTATTAAGATTGCTCATCAAATTTACATATACTCATATTTGGAGTCCTTCTACCCTCTTCCCAAGTAGAGTCAAAGTATTCCAAGCACAATGACCTTCACTAAAAATATCAATACTGTAGTAGCCTTTCTCAACTAGCCACTTTTTTCTTTTTTCTCTTTACAACTTTATCATCATCAGTTTAATAGGCTGGATATATGTATTACCAAATAGCAGGGTGACTGGAAATCACATCTACTAGAGTAACATGAGCATTTAGAAAGATCCTAATGTTTAGCACTGTGAAATCCTGGCCTAAAGTTTCACCAAGAGATCACAAGTTCACCTTGTAGAAACTGACCTAGTGTTTTCCAAATTTAAAGACATATATTTTCCTCTTCGTTTCTTTTACAATCTTGATTTAGTGTTTATTGATTTAAGTTTTGCAATGTTCATATTCTAAAAGTGTGTTTTTTTTTAACTGAGGTAAACTGTAAAGTGCAGATCTTAAGAAGGCACTTGGATTTTTACATGTATACACATACCTGTGGAACTTCCATTCAGTTTAACATTTTTAGTACCTCACAAGGTTTTATACACTTGTCCCTCAACAATCCCCACCAGACCAATATTCTAACTTTTATCTCCACAATTTCCATTTTTCCTGTGTTTAGTATCATACAAATGGAACCATATAATATGATCTTCTCCTCCTCTACCCTCCTCCCTCTCCACCCTCTCCTCCTACACTTCACCCTCTCCTCTTTCCTCCTTCCCTTCTTCTTCCTTCTCTTCCCCTTCCACTTTCCTTTCCCCTTCCCTCCCCTTCCCCTTCCTCTTCCTCTTCTTCTTCCTCTTCCCTTTCCCCTTCTCCTTCTTCTTCCTCTTTTTCTCTCCTTCACTTCTTCTTCCTCTTCCTCTTCTTCTTCTTCTCCTTCTCCTTCTCCTTCTTCTTCCTCTCCTCCTCCACCCCCTTCTCTTCTTTTTTGTCTTCTTCTTCCCCTTCTTTTTTTTCAAAGTTTTATTGATAAACTTCTTCTCCTTCTTGTGTGTATTCTGGAAATAAAACTCGGTGCCTTCACACTCAGCTACATTTCCTGTGCCTTTTAGTTTTTATTTAGAGACAGTATCTTGCTAAGTTACTAAATTGCCCAGGTTGGACTTGAAGTTTTGATCCTCTTGCCTAAGCCTCCCTGAATGCTGGAATTACAGGTTTGCATGACATGCCTAGTTATGCTACCTCTCTTTTTCTAGCTTCTGCTCATTTCTATGTCTATAAGATTGAGATATTGTGTTACATTGTATAAAATTAATTCAGCCATTTTTACTGCTGTATGTACTCCATTCTACAAATATATTGCAGTTTATTCATTGAACCAACTGGTAATGTAATTGGGTTGTTTCTATAACTGAAGCTGCTATGAATATTCTTGTGGATATATTTTGGTGGGCGCAGGCACATGGCACACATTTGTCTTGATTATACACCCAAGAGTGAAATTCTGAGACAGTGGCTAAATGTATATTTGTCCTTAGTAGGTATTGCCTAGACATATATTTATCTTTGGTGGGTTTTGACAAATAGTTTACCAAAGTGCCTGTGCCATTTTACAGTTTCATTAGCAATATATAAGAGTTCCAGTTGTTTCATTTTCTTGTGAACACAGTTATCAGTGTTTTTAACTTTAGCCACTCCATTGGGTGCATAAGAATATATAATTGTAGTTTTGACTAATATTTCTCTGGAGAGTAGTCATACTGAGAAATTTATCATATAATTATTGTCCATTTGGTTAAAAAGTTAGGCTCAGGCATGGATAACCTCTCTTGTAAAGGTGCCTGTTCGGCTCTTTCTTCTATTTTTCAATTGTGCTGTCTGTCTTGTTTGGTTTGTGGGAGTTCTTTATATACTTGTTAAAGTTCTTTGTCAGATATTGCATTTTAAATATCTTCTAATCTGTGGTTTGCCTTTTTATTATCTTAATTGTGTCTTAAAAGGTCTTATTTTTAATGAGCTTCAAATTACCAGTTTTTTATGTTCAGTATTCCTTTATCTTGGTAGAAAAATATTTTCCTATTGCAACCCCTTACTTTTAAAAATCCACTTAAAATCTTTTATTAGAAGTGACAATTGTTTTGTTCTGTTTTAACCTAACTACTTCATAATCTAATGGATCAGACATCCTCCTATTTTGTGATTTGTTCATGAAATTAACAAGATTACAAAGACAATAAAATCGATCAAACCAAATTAAACTTACTAAGAGCAAAGTCATACCAACTTACTAGAAAGCTATGTATGTCACCATTGCAATTCCCAGGAAAATGGAGGAGATGCCACATCCACTGTACGTTATAATTACTAATATCCGTTCATTCACTGGATCCACTGTTGACCTGGACAAATCCTAGGGAATATCATGATATGTGTTGCATTGAACTAGTCACCAGCACAATGTAATGGGGAAACAGTTCCAGTGCTAACAGTTGGCTCCCAGGATATACAACACTGCTGCTTTAGTCCTCACACAACCAGATCATGTGGATGGATATACGATAAGACCATACTTTGTTTGTTGACTATGCCTAGTGCAACTTCCTGTGTACAGGACACAGACGGCAAGCAGCAGCGTTGGAAGAACACTTAGTCCTTGGTTTCATTGTCACTAACGCGTTCCACACTTAACATGTTCCAAGCTAATAGATCTAAATTTTGGATGCAAAATGAATCATTATCTGAACTGAGCGTCCCAAAACATTGCACAGAACATTGAAAAATGTTCCTTCTCCTTAGATCTTAAATAACTCTCACAAAATTAGGTGGACTTTAAAGATTATATAGTCTATGTATTTCTTAACCTGAGAACAAAAAATCTTGACATGCCATGCAAAATTATTTCAATATATAAGTGCACTGGTTCTGGAAGAAGGTCCATAACTTTCATCAGATGGTCATGGAGATTTATGATTTCTAAAAAGTCAGAAAGTACTGATTTACTCTGATAATTTTCAATTTATAGCTCCCTCTGGGACGTTTGGCAGTGTCCAGAGACATGTTTGGCTGTCACTACTGGACCAGGTGCTACCAGTTTGTATTGGGAAGTTACTAAACATCTTATAATGCCCAAGACAGTCCCCCAAAGCAAAGAATTATTTGACCACAAGATCAGCAGTGTCAAGATTGAGAAACCATGGCCTTCTTCAACCATTCACATTTGTGAAGAAAAACTGATGTTCAAACAAAGTAAAACAACCCTAAGAAAATCACAAAGCTATCTACTGACAGAGCTGAAACATGAATTCTTGTCTCCTGGCTCCTGTGTAATGCTCTAGCCAACTTGGGGGAAGACAAACAAAATTCTCACCAATGTGACAAGCGTCAGTTAAGAGCTTTTCATTTGTTGAATTGGTACTTTTAAAGAAACAAATGAACAGACTCTCATCCTTCAAAGAGCTTACCACTAGTTGAAGAAAAAACTCACACATGGCATATTCAGATCATAGTACATAGTGAAATAATCTAAGGGAACTAGGAAAGTATTCATGTGTGGGTAAAGAAGCCATATGGTTGAGAGCCATTTGAAAAAGCGAACTCTGCAAGTCCTGGTGCTAAATAGGATCATAGGGGGTACAGGAACTAGGAGAAGTTAACAGTGATGCTGAGGATTTAAGCCTGAGCATGCAAATTGATCAGATAATGCTACAAGAATTTAAACATTTATTTTGGTCATAACCATTCAGCAGAAAAGTATAAAAACAAAGTATAAAAAGTAAAGCCACATTAATATGCTGAGCTGTAAAAGGCTCAAGTCAACATCTTCTGAAAATGCCAGTCCCGTAGATAACCCGCTACTAATATGGACTACTGGACTATATTGGATTATTTTGCTAAATTCATACACCTACAATATTTAAATGACAATGAATACCCTTCTCTGACAAAACTAAACAAAAAAAAGGGATACAAATGAAGGACCATTTTGTATCTGTATATTCAAAATAGTTAGGGTAGATATACAGCTGCATTCTCTTAATTCAATGAATAGAGAGGTTTGTTCTAATGGTGTTTGTGGACAGGATATCATGTCTGTGTCTTGTACAATGAATAACCACTAAGACAACAATATGCACTGTATTAATTATTGAAAATGTACTAGTAATCGGTTTTGAAACTGTCTCATTGCTATTTGTTTCTCAATAAAATTATTTTAAAAAGAACTTAAACAACATATTCTTTCATATACTGCAATTTCATAATACCTATTAACCTTTTAAAATCTTAATAATCATATCCTTTATTCCAGAAATTCTACTTCTGTCAATTCATCCTACAGAAATAGTCAGAATGGAAGTAAGCAGTTAAAACATCCATCTGTCAGGAGGGGTTGGTTCAATTCATTTTGGTACATCCACATAATGATATACCACAGGTGTATTTTTAGAATTGAATTAGATTGACACATATCTATCAGAAAGTTGTACAATATATATGGTTAGGTGAAAAAAGCAAGTATAAAAACTTAACCTCATTTCATAAAATAAAAATTTACGTTTATATATGCATAAGAAAAGATAGTGATCTCTCAGGGCAGAGATTAAAGTGACTTTTTTGGTATTTTTTGAAATTTAAAAAGCAAACATTAATTTTTTGGTGGAACCAGGGATTGAACTCAGACCCTTGTGCTTGCCAAGGAAGTGCTTATTCCACTGAGCCGTCTCCCTGGCACAAACATTAATTTTATAACAAGAAAAATCAACATTTGTTTCAATCTGTCCTGCTTTGGAGAAGATAATAAGAGAAAGAACTTTTTTCCACCTCATACCTTTTTTCAATGACTTACTTCATGTATATAGTTCTGTTCTGAGTCTCATAAAAGTTGCCAAAATTATTTCAGGAGTGACAAAGACACAACTTACCATTAAAACTCCAAAGTGGGTGAGATGGTCACACTGACAGACTGTATAATTTATGTTTGTTTCTTTTACTTTGCAGCCTGATGAATTCCATCCACCTAGCCCATCTGAAGGAAACAGAAGGAAATTTCAAAGCAATTTTGCATTTCTCAGAAATGTTTAACTTTTCATTATATGTACCATCCACATGTGTATCATAAATATCATTGTTTGTTAAGATAACAAGATAGAGGTATAATAAACACCAAAATTAAATTAAGTCTAACACAGCAAGTTGACTTTAAGGGCACTACATAAATGGCCTAACTTCTTTGACTCTCACTTTTCGTGCTTTTGTAACATACCTCTACAGATGGTGACATATGCTATTCATGAACAATAGTTCTGTCATCATGCTGGAGTGACAGTTTTGATTAAGCAGCCAACAAATAGAGCAGGCAGATCTACAGTTTTTGAAGGATATAGACCTGAGTAATATGCACTGACACTTGAGCCTCTTTGGTGGGACTAGATTAGATATCTGAAATAATCAGTTCGATACAGAATTTAGATGGACTCAGGTGTTTTGAGTCCAAGCCAGATCATGGAGTGGTGCTCCTTGGGGGCTTATGAGAGCATCTGGTCTATTTGACACATACTCAGTTTCTCCTGAGCATGCTTATGGTTCTAGAACCAGTTCTCATCGACCATAACCTGGAGACCTTCGGCCTTACTGCAGAAGCAGGGTAGAATCTCCAGAGTAGCATTAGACCAGAAGGGTTATCCAAAGGCAGGTAACCAACTGTAGTTAGGATGTGTCCATCTGGAACAACTCCCTTAGATCGTAGAAGTTCTAGACCCACAAAGCCCAGAGGCAGGGACAAAGGGTACCTTTGGGGTATCCCAGGAATCAGCATTAATGACCACACAGAGATCAAATGACTGAAGCAGCGGAAGAAAAAAAAAACCCTCATAGCTTTATAGAATTCCCTTTCTGAGAGACTTGGAAGGGACCAGGACAGGACAGTGTTATTTTTGTTTGTCACAAAGGAAAAGTCTTCATTCTGGTATCCCAGGGAGCCATATGGAAAGAGAATTTTATTCTTTTCAAAATCCTAAAGGTATTGAAAAAAAGAAAGTTCCAAGGCAGAGCTTCCACAAGTAGGAAGACTCTGCTTACAGCTAGCTATGGCATTTTAGGGGACATTGATTCCATGGGGGGATTCTCTGAGAGTTGGTGTTATCTCTAGAGATTCCAGTGCATTTGGCAAGTCTAAGAGAAACCCAGTCAGCAATGATCATCTACAGTATCTTCTCCTACTATCATCAAAGACTCATGCTTATGCAAGGTGGAAGGCCCACAGGTATCAACAGAGAAGTCTCATTTATTCAAAGATAAAAAGATTGAAAGAGTAAATGACCTGCCCGGGTGAGGAGATAAAAGAACAAAGAAATAGTTGCCATTGCAAATCCCTATGGGAATTCTCAGATAAGGAACCAGGTGACCACTCCTCCACTTTCTTCAGTCAGCTCAAGCCTACTCTGTATTTTGCCAGCCACATTTTTTTTTCTTCCAACTTTACTTACCCCTGACTTGTATGGTTTTTCTGGTTTTCCTAATAAGTCTTATCAAAACAGACTTTTTTTCCCTAATTTCCATGCCCTAAGCTGGTATCACAATCATATCCTGTACCTTGGTCATTCCGAATGTTCTGGAGGATCTGCTAAAGCTGCAATTCAGCAGAATTCCCCATTTCAGCTGGTAAGCAGAAAAAATGATGGGGGCAATTGAAAAATACTTACTGTTAGTCTCAAAATCCCAAAAGGCACAGTGAACCTGATCATAGTTCTGGAAAGGAGAATTCAGAGATAAAATACCTTTTCTTTGTGATGGTTATGGCACAATAACAATTACACACAAGGTTTTTCAATATTTTTTCAGACAGTAGTTATATACACACACATGCACGCACACACATACATGGGCCATAGTAAATTGGTTGTGAGATGTATTTCATTTAACTCAAGTGGAAAAACATAACATGATAACGTGTTATATATTCTTTTCAAATATTTGGCAGCGTGTGATTTGGCCATGGTTTCCTGAGGAGGTCTTGGGTAGGCAGTGCAGGACTGATGTACACCAGGTGTGCTGTGTGGAGCTTTGCAATTGAAGGCTCACAGCTGAGTGCTTTCCTTGTGGACACAAGCCTGGGTCGCCTCCTCATTAGTCCCCAGTAGAACACTCTTATAACCTCATCAGCTCCTACAATGTTCAGGACACTGGAGGCAAGAAACATTGATTTCTGGGAATGTTTTGAGAGCTGTAGCCATAGCCTCAGTCCAAGCGGAGAGATCTTATCCATCTAACAATGTTTCATTTGGTATCTGTGTTAACTCCCTCTCCCCCCTCTTCCTTTCCTTCTTCTCTTCTATAATCAAGACTAGTGAAAAATATGTTGTACCATATGGTCTTTAAATTAGGAATGAAGGAAGCTATTAAGACTTCACACTGGACACACATTAACATCAAAGAATGGAATAGTAATTCATTCTTCTACTAAGGCTAAATTTGATCATTTAGTAATATATGCCTTATGTTATGCCATATGATTATGGTTTTTCGTCCTTCGGTGATAATTAATACACATTTTAATGCTCTTCATGGAAATTCAAAGAATACAAATGTTCAGCTATTTTGAATGAAATTGTTTGTCTACGTCAAAAAGGAATGGAATTAAATGTCATTTAGTGTGCTGGGACAACCAAGAGATTCACCTATCTTCAGTCACTTCCTTGCCAATCTCACAGCACTAGAATGCTCACCTTTCACTATACGGTTAGGATAAGGAATTATTGCTAGAAGTTCCCAATTACAACACTCCTCTGCTACCCAGACAATCTTCATTAAGTCTGTGACTCATATCTGTTAATTAGCCAATTATTTTTAATAGGAGAATCAAAGAGGGATTCTGAGGCCAATGGATTCTGAGATAAAAATGAATGTGTTACCCGCTTTCCTTCAATATGCTGCAGAGTGATAACCACTGGATCAGCCAAATTTTGAATGGGCGCATTTGAAATGCTGGCACTCACAACATAGGAGGTTAATGCTTTAGTTACATTTGTGATCTGCAGATGGAAACAAAGAATTAAGGTTCTAAATTTCTAGTTTCTTACATGCTCATTTTCAATCTAGAATTTTTGAAATGTTACATACAGTATTAGGTAATGAGATGTAGAGAAAATCACAAACTAAGAATGAATTTTCAGAGATCATTCAGCTCATTTTCTGTCTTTACATAATGTCTCAGTGACACCAAGCTACAACAGTTCATTAATCCAGCCACACATCCGAATGTGTAGCCAACCAGCAATGTTTCTACACCTGTTACTCAGAACCGCACTAGCAACAAAATAAAAATAATTCTGTACCTTGATCATTCTCCACATCCTTATATTGCAGGGATAAAGGAACCTCTCCTGGGAAGAATCTAAGTCTATAATGGGTTAGTTATAACCACTTTCTCTTCTAGCCTCACTGGAGATGAAAACAGATTGCTTAACAGCCAACTTGAAAGAAGTCTGTAAGGATACTCCTCTCCTTTCTAGAAGGATATGAACTCTGAGGCCATAGCCCCAGCTTGTGTATCCTGGTGTTTCCTGCACACACTAGCACAAAGTAGGTATTTTATCTTGTACACACTGTAAGCCATACTTTGCTAAATGCTTTCAACACAGATATTACCTTTGGTCCTCACTGATATCACATAGACTTTTTCAGATAAACTTATGCTTCAACAAGCTCAATGCCTATATACACAATGATCACATAGTTAGTGATTGACAGGAAACAGATATTTAATGAATGTTGGTTTAAAGGCAACAACAACAATACACCTATTGAGACAATAGATTTTCTAACTAAAGCACCAAAGACCAAGCCTCTAGAAGGTAAGCAAGCTGAGAGCCTGCCTTTTCTGGGATACACATAAAGAGACCAGAGAGGGGGTAGCATAAGACAGGAGGGAGAGGAGACCACTCTACTAAGGGTTTGCTCAGTAAGTCTGGAGTATGTGAGTAAGCCTACACAACATCCCTTGAAGAACTTGCTGGTCACTTTTAGATAATGCCATCCCTTCATACTCCTGAAGCAATAGTATGCAGCCTCCACTCCCTACCCCACTTGAGCCCTGCAGTCACTGACCATGGGGAATTGTGAATGCAGCCTTCAGACTACTAGGAAGCTATTCAGTTACTGTTCTGGACCCACTGTGCTCATCCAAAACCAGCCTGATGACTCAGAGCTCCCTTCTCACTGGAATCACCCAGGACAGTGTGATGTAAAGTGAAATCAGCAGGTGAAAAGGGCCACAGCTAATGCTTCAAAGCCCAAGGGTTAGACAGAGTCCTCTTGTTTCTCCAAAGGTCTTCTCTATCTTGGTCATTGAAGATATGAGTGAAAAGAGTTCTATGTTCTAGAAGGACCTGGAGTATGTGAGTGAGGACCAAAGGTGATATTTGTGTTGAAAGCATTTAGCAAAGTATGGCTTACAGTGGGTACAAGATAAAATACCTACTGTGTGCTAGTGTGTGCAGGGAACACTAGGACACACAGGCTGGGGCTATGGCCTCAGAGTTCATGTCCTTCTAGAACACAGAACTTTTTTCACTCATATTTTCAATGACCAATAAAACATAGAACTCTCTATCCTCCCAACTTAGTCTAAAAGAAATGATTTTCCATGTTGGAAAGGCCAATAGTGGAGACATACACGATGGTTCAGGGTTTAATTAAGTTCTCCTCTGGCTTCATTTCTCTTACCTACAAATGGTGGACATGCTGGGAAGGGAATAAAATCATTTCTCCCTCCTCCATCCTTTGTACTCTGGACTCAAGGTTTCCTGTTATGCCTCCAACCTTTACAGATGCCATTACCTCTGTCTGAGCCCTCCCTGCCCCTTCCCTCCTCATCCTCTCCCATCTTGCAGCTCCTATGGGACCTCTGGTGTCTGTTGAGAGTTCTCTTACACACAGCCACTGCAGCTCTCCCAGATGAGAGTAGAGACGCTCTTCTGCAGTTCCCGAGCCCCTACCAACAATGCTCTTGCTTTGTGTCTTTTCCCCTTTCTGAGAATGGTAGCTAGTGCAAAAGTCGACGATGAGGCATATGATGTTCAAGAGTGGCATCTCTCTCACAATTTCTAGGGTAACATAGTGTAATGACAATTAAGATTTTGATCAAATATGTTAGAAGAAGCAGTGTGAAAGCAAGGTGGTGCGACTCAGGTACTAAAAAAATAAGAGTTAAAGGATGGCATATCTTGTTAGCACTCACTCCTCAGCAGTCAGTAGCACAAATTCAAGCCTCAGGTCCCACTGTAAGTGTTAGAGAGTTCTGGTTTCTATCACCCCTATTACTCTGTAAGTTCCCTAATGATAGGCACTATGCCTCCCTGGCTCAGCATTGGATCCCCATCATGGAACACAACATAAGACATGGAGTAAAAATTCAATAAATATTTCCTGAATTAATAGATGATTAAGTGAATAACCTGTGTCACCTTCAGCAAGTGCCTTCCTCTGTCTGCATGACAGTGTCTTGGAACAATGAGGAGATGGGGTACTATGAGTAATGACAGGCTTTCCAGCTCAGATTGGATGGCAGACTAGTTTTAATCCTTCTTCATCTGGCACTATGTCATCCATAGGCCAATTTTGGCAAAGATCTCTATTCTATTTTAGTGGAAGGTGTTAGTTAATAAAAATTACTTATTAAGTGAGAAGTCTATGCAATGCAAGTTTATCTCATTCCAAGAAACAAGAAACAAACACAACTCTCTGGAAACAGGAGAGATGCTAAGATCAAAATAATGGCATCTCAGATATTTCCAGAGAAATGCCAAGACTATCCAAAGGGTCAGACAGTTATGCCCAATATTTTTAACTTTTACAGATATTTTTGTTCTGTAAAAACTATTGTCCAGGGGTCAGAGAAGAGAACAGGGGCTTGCCAATCACAGGTAGATACTCTGGGTAGAGTCTCAGCAAAGCCCACAAGAATAAATTTAGATAGCAGAATGGCTAATGGAATGCCAAGAGAATATCATACAGACATAAGTGGTGAGGTTATGGTATATTTTAAATTGATGCAGAATAATATCTCCCTAAATAACTCCATGAGTAGTTGACCATTGGAAGTTATTTCCTTTGGATAATCTCCTTAGACATTTTTCTCTTCTTCTTAGAAATTTAACACAACTGAGAAATTTAATATAGTAAACTCCTAAATATATGAACTTCAATGCCAGATGACCTGGGTTTAATTCCAAGCTAGGTCACTTCCTAGCTGTGTGCCCTTGGGTAAAATTACTTAACCTCACTAAGTGTCAGCTTCTTATGAAGAGTAGATGAGCTAATAAGGGTAAATACTAACAATTTTGTATTCAACATCATGCAAACATTGCTGTCTTCCAAGCAGCTAGTGATCTGAGGGAATGGGCCTTTGGATAGGCAGAGATCCATGAAAAGATAATTAAAATAGCAATGCAAACATCATGATGGTGCTTTTTACATATCAGGCAATATTGTAAGTACTTTATAAATATTATCTCTGTTAGTCCTTCAATAGATTGCTGGGCAGGGGAGATGGCTCAGTAGTATAAGCACTTCCCTGGCAAGTACAAGGGCCTGAGTTCAATCCTCGGTTCTGCCAAAAAAAAATAGATTACTGATATTCTATTCTACCCTATTTTGCATAAGAGGAAACTAAGGCACATGGACATTAAACAGCTTGCCTAAGTTTGCACAGATGAATATGGCAAAGCCAGCTTCAAACACCCCGTCTCCTGACCCTGAGTCTGAACTCTTCATCAGCATGTCCCACTGCTTATGTGAGAGGGGGTGAGGGATGGAGCCCTCAGAAATGGTTCCATGCAGATTGTGGGAAAGAACAACAAATGTCCACAGACAAGTGGCCTGCTGGACTCCATTCAGGTTCAAGTAAATTGGTGCACAAGAGTGGGCACGTTGGCTTTGATGAGCCAGGAGAGATTTGAGAGGGAAATACTGACAGGCACAAAGGACATTTCATCAGGAGAACATACTGTTCTCTTTTGGCTTTGAAACATCTTAAGGTCTCTGTTTGGTCACTAGATAATCCTTAAGACCCTATCCAAAGCTGAGAACCTGTGAAAATTAAAAACTGTGGAACATCATTAAAGTAGACATTGCTTCATGTTGAGGGCCAGGGGTTGTGCTGGAAGACTTGTAGAATCAATCAGAGAGTGTCTTCTAAAATAAACAGAACACCATGAAAATAGCAGGAGCTCATAATTACAGTGAGTCACCATATGACAGTTCATGACAGCTATTAGAGGCAAGAACTTACCTTAAAGAGTGAAGTTTGGCCAAAAAAACTAAATAAGATGGTTTGTAAGTTGTTAAGAGGAATTCTGTTACTCAGTGAATTAGGCAAATATATGGAAGCCAAAGTCTTCTCCAGTGGGACAGCACCTAGGTAAATCTGCCAATAAAAGCCAGCAAGTGAAAACTGGAGTCTTCATGTATCAGAGTGAAATCTCACCCCCCACCCAAGAGCATCCTATGTAGGGCTAAGGGCTGGAAATTAACTTCAGAGAGCTATCACACCCCTATTGCACATGCACACACTCAGAATTGCAATCCAAGGCATAGTCCTGATATGCACCCACATACATGCACAAGCACACACATACACACACACCCCAAAACACATTTCTTCCTTTACCAGCCTATCCCTGAGGTTATTTTCCTTTAAACTGGCTCCACCTTGTTAAAAATAGCAGGGGAATAGCACATTAGATAATCCCTAATTCTCAGAAATAAAGGCCAGTCTTGGAAATCAGGCCACCTTCTCCCATATAGTTCTGAAAGTAAGTAGAAAAGACAAACTAAAACAAAATAATACAAACTACGCAATAAATGTAACTCACATGAAACTACTATTACAGATTACCATCTGCAGTGCAGTAGCTTAGTTCACAGGTATCAGTATATATAGTTAGTCAGGGTGAGAATCTTTCCAATTAACTGCTAGATTCAAAAATCTTCTGGAGATTCTCAGGATCATTGCCTTGCCCATCTTCTACATATAACTGTATGGCTTGACTTATTCATGTTTCCTAGCTCTTCTCCTTTCCCTTTCTTGGTTTGTTAGTCTTTGAGATCCTGCTTCCTTTTTACTTGTATTATACCTTTCTATTTGTATTTCTTCTTTTGAGTTCTTATACGAGGGAGACTATACGGTATTTACGCATGTGTGTCTGGTTTATTTCACTTATGAGTATATGTTCAAGTGGCATCCACTTCAATATAAACGCTTTGAGTTTATCATGCTTAATGACTGAATAATACTCCATTGTGTAAAAATACCACATCTTTTTCAAACATTCCTCAGGTGATGGGCATCTTGGTTGTTTCCAAGATTTGGCTATCACAAATTGTGCTGCTATAAACATAGGCACACATATATCCCTATGACATGATGTTTTCAGATCCTCTGGGAAAATTCCCAGTAGAGGAATATCTGGTTTAAAGGGGATTTCTAGTCCAAGTTTTCTAAGGAGTCTCCACACTGATTTCCATAATGGTTGCACCAGTCTACATTCCCACCAGCAGTGGACAAGGGTTCCTTTTTGCCCACAGCCTCTCCAACATTTGTTGTTGAGTGATTTCTTTATGATAGCCTTTCTTTCTGGGGTGAGATGATATCTCAATATTGCTTTAATTTGCATTTCGTGGATGGCATGTAACTCGGTAGTGTCCCAAATTTTCTGATCAAGGAGATTATGGGGCCAAAGAGGAAAGTGATTGATGATGCAGAGTGTGCCTAAGGAGAGTCACATGGAGAGAAAACATTCTCTCAGGCTTTCACAGAGAGCACATTGGCCAAGCAATGGCTGTGACTCATCCACATGGCTGACACTGACAAAGGTTCTACAGTCTGAGGTACAGGATTTCAGGATAAACCCTGAGGGGATTTCAATGACCTTATCAGAGCCAAAAACTACAACTCTTGTTGCATAGGTCCTGCTTTACCTTGGTCTTAACCATCCAGCAGAAAAGTATAAAAATGAAATATAAGAAGTAAAGTCATGCTGTTATTTTGAGCTATAGGGGACTCAGGTCAACAATTTCTGACATTTCCAGTGAAGCAGAAGACCCAATACTATTATGGGCTACTGGACTCTTTTACAATATTTTGCTGAGTTTACACACCTACAAGATTCAAATAACGGAACTTAACAGAAAAGGGGATACAAATGAATGTCCATTTTGTATCTGTGCATTCAAATTGGCTAGGAAAGATATATAGTTACATTCTCTTAATGAATAGAGGGATTTGTTCTAATGGTGTTTGTAATTAGAATATCATGTCCACATCTTGTACCGCAATTAACCACTAGGAAGAATGTATGCAATGTGTTAATTATTGAAACTGTCCCACCAATTTGATTTGAAACTCTCTCATTGCTATTTGTTTCTCTTTAAAATTATGAAAAAAAATGTAACTCACAGTTTATTGAAAAGTGTTTTCATTAAAAGTGGGCAAAAAATGAAGCTTTATTCTGTAATAATTTTTCTGGTGACTCATGAGCAGAAGAATTTACTCATTTGATTGGTGATATTATTTGATATGTATTGGAATAATTTTGAAAGTGAAAGGCATTTTATCTAAATTACACTGGGACAGAGTCATAAATGGGCCGATCACAGGTAAAAGTAGAACATATATAGACAGCCTTGCTTACATTTTCTCATTCAACGCCTTTATCAACCTTCAGAAGTGTATTGTAAAATGGTACCAGGAAACTGAGGCCCAGAGAAGTTAAGTGATTTGTCCAAGGTCACCCAGTGAAGAGGCTGACCAAAAATGTATACGACTTTGGTGTATGCTTTCCCTATTATCCGTGTTACTCCTCAAGGAGCTATGATTTAATTGGTTATATGATGAGGGGATGAAAACGTATAATATTTCTTAAAAAGTTGTAAATCCCCAAACCATGTAACACTTCTCTTAGTAAAAATGAGTTTAACTTGAGCAACACAGTATCATAGAAAGGTCAGGATTTAGTTTCAGGGTGCAGGCAGTTTGGCACCAAGAACTTAAATGAGGTTGTTTGGGTGGTTGGTTGGTTGGTTTATCCACTAATGTTTATAACAGAAAACACCGTATGTAAACAGAGTGCAATAGGAAATCAATATCTGCTTCCAGTACAGCTAAGTAGTTCCTGGAGAGTTTGACCTCCCTTCACATAACAACAATATCACTTAACAATGACTTGAAGACACAGAAAAGTGAATGGAAGCGGACAGATTCTGGAGAAGAGCAGATATTTAGAGAAAGGTAACATCAAAAGAGAGTTCACTGCTTTACAACTGTTAGTCTCAGGCTAGGCTGAAACTAATGCATTGAATGGCATCTAAACTCAAGACAGAAAACCTACGAACTTTCTTCTCTAACAAACCAGAAAATTAAGGTCAGGAGAAGCACAGGTACTAGAAGAGGGAGAGACATTTGGGAGAAAGAGAGAGGGAGAGAGAGAGAGGGAGGGAGAGGGAGAGAGAGAGAGAGAGAGAGAGAGAGAGAGAGAGAGAGAGAGAGAGCCCATATTCTAAGTATAAGCCCTGCACAAGCATCTGCCTGATCTACTAATCATATATGTATAGTACAGACTCCAACTAAGAATAAAGGAAGCTAACTGAGATTTTTAATTTCCACCTAGGATATGGAATTTACAGTTCGAGTCCACCTAAGTTTATCACTTAGTATAATAAAAAACCAAGAGTATTCAGAGAAATAAAGAATTGAGTCCCCGCAATACAAACTTGACAATGTCTAAAACTTAATCCAAAATCAGTTGCCATGTGAAGAAAGGAAAACTTTTGACCCAATTTAAAGTGAAAACACAATCAATGTCAATCAATCATGAAATGACTCAGTCATTAGAATTAGCAGGCAAGAATTTCAAAGAAGCTGGCATAACTGTACTGTGGTATTTAAAAAGAAAATATGCTTGTAATTAATGGAAAATGAGGAACTAGCAGAAAAACAGAAACCAAGAAAAGGAAAAGGGGGAGGGGGAGGAGAAAGAACAGAATGACAAAGTAAAAGAGGAGAAAGAGAAGAAGAGAACAAATTCTAGAACTTTCGATACAATATTAGATTTTTAAGATTGCATTAGATGGGGTCAATAGCAACATGACAATGACAAATGTCAGCAAATTTGAAGATAAATTAATAGAAATTATTCCACCAGCAGAATAGAAAATAAAATAATTAACCATATGAAAAGAGTATCAAGGACTTGTGAGCCAGTGTTAAAAGGTCTTATATACATGAAATTGGAGTCTCAACAAGGGTGAAGAGATAAAAAGTTGAACAAAGAATGCATGACAAAATAATGGTGGAAATACATATATTACAAGTTCGAGAAACTCAGCAAACCTCAAGCAAGATTAAATACAAAGAAAAACATGCTTAGACACATCATAGTCAAACTGCAGTAAATCAAAGAAAATACTAAAAGAAGTTGGAGAAAAATGACACATTATCATATACAAAGAAGCAAAAATTCCAATGATTATTAATTTCTCATCAGAAAATACTGAAACCAGAAGAGAGAGGAAACTTTTCAAAGCAACAAGGTGGATATCTGCCAATATATACTTTTATAGCAAGAAAGACTGTTCCTTAAGAATAAAGAAGAAATACATTTTCAGGCATGTAAACCTAAGAAAATTCATCATCAGACTTAACTAGATGAAATCCTAAAAAAAAAAAAGAAAAAAGAAATGCTAACTGAAATTTCTGAAGCTGAAGGGAAATGATACCAATGAAAAAAGAATGGAGAACATCAAAAATGATAAACACTGAGGTAAATTAAATAGGTTATTTTTCTCTGAATTTTGTTAAGTTACACAGTAGTTTTAAAGTAATGATTAGAACATTGTGTCGTGGGGTTTATGGTCTTCCTAGATTAAAAAATAGGAAAACTAAAGAACAGTGGGTATAAGCAGATATTTATGACTCAGAATTTCCACATTAAACATGGAGTAGGAAAATATTAACTCTAAGTACAAATTGTGAAAATATGATTATTTATATTGTAAATCTTTACAAGAAGTAAAGATTTAATCTTTCCAGTTAGTATTAAAAGCGATATAAATAGACATAATTAAAGGATCTGTAAAAAAGTAAAATACTATTGTAATAAATATTAAAGTAAAGCAAAACACAAGAGGACAGGAGGAACAGAGAAGCAAGAGCCAAAAGAGGATAGACAAAAATTAAACAAGATGAGAGTCCTGACTCTACTCATATCAACAATCACATTAAGCATTATTGGACTATACACTCAAATTTAAGGCAAATGTTATCAGGATGGATTAAAAGGTGAAGTACGAACTACATGTTATCTATAAGAACTATTCTTACAATATGAAGACATACAAGTAGTTAGAAATTTTATTTATTTATTTATT